CACCCCCCCATCCCCAAAAGTTTCTCACCGGATTTGGGCTGTACTCATCAAGCGCAGTACAGCCCCCAACTCAGACTTGAAAAAAATCTGTGGATGGTTTCTGACTGGTTGGCAGACAGCCGACTGGTCGGCCCTACTGGTCGGCTGCAGTACGGCCGGCGGCCGGCAGGTGTGCAACCCTGGTAGCGACTGTATATAAGTTGCGCTGGGATGTTCACACTCGCTGAAAATGGTTTTTGTCAGTGGTCATTTCCAGCCAGGTTTAAGGTATTTCAGATCTGGTGTGAGATATCCCTTACTGAAAGAGCTTGAAGGAACTTATCATGTTTGGATCTTGGGTTGTCAAAACTTTCGATGAACCCTTGGTTAGCAAGGAGGAGAGCTTTGGGGCTGGTTCATATGAGCATTGGTAAATAACACTAAATGTGTTTTGTGACTTTTGTCCAATGCTTATGCACCTTTTTTTCCCCCCTTTTCCTTTCCCATCTCTATCAATCATTTACTTCAATCCCGAAGACCAACAAATACCTACCAGACAGAGCCTCATTGCGTTATTCCATGCTCATGTTATGTTCAGAGCACAGGCCTGCTGCTTTTCTTTTTTTTCATCTACTTTTTCTTTTGACAACGAACTGTGTTTGCATCCCACAGGCATATTCCAAAGAAACCGGTTAAGAAGGAGGAAGTGCGAAAGACCGGACCGGCTCAGCCCTCATGGCAACTCTTGCAGTTTGCACTGGCAGATAACATAGAGGAAGGGAAGGAGCTGCTAGCAAGCCAGAAAGGTCTGGTGGGTTTTGGAGGGAGCATAAATGCTCCAAGGACAAGGACTCTTCGTTTTCAAGGTCTGTCACAAATACCCTCCCTCTCTTCTTCTCCCACCTTTCTTTTTTTGGACTGTGGTGGGTGGGTCTCTTGTGCTAGATTGTTTTCCCTTTACTAAACCACCAGTTCACGCGAGCCTAAGTTGACGGAGCTATAGCTTCCGAGGCTCACAAGCCTGCAACTGCGCCTTTCCAAAGGCGCCTGCCACTTTTGTGACTGGCCCCGGCCCAAACTCGAAATGCTCTCGCCGCGTATACTGGTAAGAAGGGCATTACTTAGATTCCTGTGAACTGGCGGCTTAAACCACCAGTACATCTGGAGAGGAGTTCGAATGAGCCTCTCCGAAAAGTTAGGGGAATTGGGACAGAGCCTGCCTGGGAGCAGGCAGAAACGTTTTTTTTTTGTTCAGTGCTGGGCCTAGTCCCACCCCACGGCATGGGACTTTTTTTTTTTTTTTACTGGCCCTTTGGACACCCTGTCCCGAGCCTCCAAAAACTTAGTCGAGGGTCATTCGGATTCGGAACTTGGCTGGGGCCCTGTACCGGTGGTTTAGAAATCATTGAACCATTGTTTATGGTGCTTCATAGTATCTACACATTTGGGAATTAAGCAAGCACGCACGCACACACACTGTGGGTGGTTTAAACTTTAAAGCTTATTTAATTGAGTATGGTAAGTGGACAGAAACAGAATCTAGTCAGGCGCCCCTCTGAAATCCCCTTGTGAACTATCGGCAGATTCGGCACCTTTGAGCCTCTGCTGCAGAGCTGTTTGTGTTCTGATAGAGCCTATCAGGACCACCATGAGCTGTGATAGGTGAACCCATCCAGCCTGGGGAACAAAAAAAAGTAAGAAATCGCTCGTCTCCATTGGCTAGGGGTTGCTGTAACCCTGTAACATCAGGGATGAAGGAAAATGACGTTGATTGCACAAATACAAAAGGAAAGACGTCATCGCTTTTTTTTTCTTTTTTTTTTCTTGAATTGAGGTATGCGTGGGGTGACCCATGGCCATTTCAAATATCGTTCTAAGTGGTGGTGGATGGTATGAGCAGGGGTAGAGAAAAGATCCAATCCACTGTGTGTAACAATAATATTTCCAACTGCACGCCAATCCACTTAGTACAGGATCACCCCAAGATCGTGTGGAACCGGCAGGAGTGTCCGGAGTACGGATAGCTTCCCAAATAACACCCCCCACAATATCGGGGGACATAACAACCCCCACAATATCGGGCAGGGCAGTCCGATAGGCTCGTGTTGTGGAGTCTCGGTCTCAGGTTCACCATCCCATCTAGGAAAAGCGTTGTAATGGAAACACCCGCCGACCTCTGAACAGCGAACGGCAAGCAAGCGAAATTTGCCCATACACTCTGACTGGCCTATGCCCAGATCCTTCTAGCTGAACAGCCCACTATGGCTCACCATTCAGGCATATCATCAAGTTGGCGTCCATGCTATGGACTTGACCAGCAGAACAATAGTTATCTGCTCTGCACGCATGATTATCATGNTTTTTTTTTTTTTTTTTTTCGAGAAAGCAGGTGGTTTTGGAATCAGTAGCTGAGCAGTTACAACTTAGAAGTGGATGCTCTTGTCACCACTCTTAGCCGGATCAGCAGGTGTTTTTTTTTAATGTTTTTTAATTAAAAATAAATAAAATGAAGCAGGGCCGTCATCTGAGCGGTTTCACATAGTATTTACTTCTGAGAAAAATACTTGCAAGCCTTGTTGAGTGGGAGAGCTGGCAATACTCAGGAGGAAAGGAATGCAGTCTTCACCCGCATCTGTGAGTTTACTGACAAGATCTATTCCAGACTGTTACCTTTTTTTTTTTTTTTTTTTTGAACAAATGCTCCAGTCTATTCATGGGGAGCAGCACGTGCTGGGAAGCGGGCCCAACGTCCCATATGGAATTATACAGATCATTGAGAACATTTGAGGTCTTTTGAGGTCATTTGAGATACTGGGGCCATTACCCGGAGGCTGTAACCTAAAATATGTATGGCAGAAATGGAGGGGTGGTGAGTCGTATCTTCTCAGCATTTAAACCGCGGGTACGAACAATCTATTCCAGCTAAGTAGACTGGCTATCCTGTGGACATTATGGTGGAAGAGATGCGTCCTAGCCATTGATTTTTTTTTATTTTTTTTTTGGATCCTAGCCATTGATAAGGTGAGGGTGGAAGGACGAAAGGCTACTGAGCGAGATAAAACAGCACATACAAGCAGGTCTACAAACAAAATGGCGTACAATGACGGGTTGAGCTGGCACCCTGAATGACCTGGGGAAGATCCGGAAGGCAATACCCAAGTGCAGTCAGGAATGGTTGGAAGGCAGAACAAGGGGGGTGGATGGCGTCAACGATCAATCAAATGGGAGGGAGGGAGGGCCTGCAGGAAAAATGGGAACAAGACAATCGTGGAGGGTCCAAGGAAGATACAGAGGAACTATAGGTTAGTCTTCAACCCACCAATAGATGGAGCGGCCCGCTTGGCAAAGCGTCAATCCCGGTGGTTCTCTTACCACCACCAGGATAGAGGTCTTGCACAAGGGCCTTTCCAACCAAAGTCATCAACAGCTGGACAGACCTGGATCCTTCCCTGCGTTCCCACTCCGTCCCCCTTCTGCGTTCCCGGATCCCTTCCCACCCAACACCTTGTCCCTAGTGGAAAATGCATGGTACGGCCAACTGGGTGACAAGCGAGAGAAGCTCATGGTACGGCCAACTGGATGACAAGAGAGAGAAGCTCATGGTACGGCCAACTGGATGACAAGAGAGAGAAGCTCATGGTACGGCCAACTGGGTGACAAGAGAGAGAAGACAGAAGACAGGGGACTGGAGGAAACGTAGTTACAGGAAGATGGAAGAAAACAGCGCATGAAGCTATTATACTGCAGGGGTGCCCTGTATAGCCTTAGGAGTAGGGGGGTATGTAGGTAGTAAAAGGTGAGAGAAGAATGAAGCTTAGTTAAGAAAAGGGAAAAAAATGATGAAATAGAATTTGTCACAAACAATCCATCGGCCTAGCTCAGTTGGTTAGGCGTGCAAGTGGCATCCAGGAGGTTGTGGGTTCGAGCCCCATGACCACCTGCGGTGCACATGTTGCACAACCAGCTGTGATAGTCTGCTTTATCCCTCTGATCGGTACTAGTAGGGTCTTTCGCCAACACGGGTGTTAGTGAGTGTGTGCGCGAGTGGGTTGTGGGTGGGTCATGTGTGGGAGAGAGTTGGCCTTAGACCTGTCTCTTATACACATCTAGATGTGTATAAGAGACAGCTCTTGCATAGTGCCTGTTGGGATTGGTTGCATTGAACTCCACAGTTTGGCATTATCAACGTGTTTGTGCACATAATCATCTGTATGCCGGAGGAGAACAATTGGTGGACTATCCGTTACGCAGTACCTTCTTCCGTGCAGTTTTGCTTATCCAAAGACTGTGGAATGCTTACGGGCAGTGTCTGGTCTGCTATCTTGATGATCCCCCTGGTTAATCTTCCTCTTCACCCAATCCAAGCTGCCATCGCTGCATTCTTTGTGTCATCAGGATCTGTTCTTTACCTGTGGATGCACATTCAAGGAGCCTATTTATTTTGTGTGTGGGTGCGAACTGCATTACATGTTTTGGTATTAGACAGTAGGTTCCCGTATTCTCATGCTTCTCTTCTGCATTCCACCAGTCTCAGCAGGGAGATGGAAGTCTCTTGGAACAAGTTATGCTGAGCAAAGTGCCTTGGCAGGAAGGTTGCGCAGAAAATTAAGGCCAATGTATGACTGCAGCGGCACCAAGGGTTCGTAAATGAGATATAAGCCATTTTATAGAACTCTCTATTGTCAGAAGTAAGAAGCACAATAGGTAGAAGAAAGGTACAGCGTTCAGGCTCTTTTGGCACTGGCGACACTTTGTGGGAACATGCAACGCTTCCCACGCCCCCAGGCAGCCCATCGCCGAACAAGAGCAGCTGTCTCCCAGCATATTGTCAATTGGCACAACGCACTTTGTCGGTGGGCACGTCCAAACCCCATCGACGCAAGGGAACGGAGCAATCAATGGTGGAAAGGCGATCATCACCCATCATGCATTCCTTTATCAGAATTCGCTTCCTTGACGTCCCTGTGCATGTACATATGTGGTTTAGGGAAGTTTCTGAAGTGAGAAATCAATACTGGAGTCTGATGCCTTGATTGGGTAGCCCACATAAGTAACGGTTTTGAATCTTTCGATGGCAATCTTACCGCCATTCAGATCAGCGTCATGTCAACAAGGATGTGCCCATTTGGGCATGCTCATCCAGTTCAAGGGAAGAGTTATTGCTGTGTACGTTCGCTTGACTATATTTCCGACTTTCCAATCATTTGACTTTGACTTTGATTTGTAATATGCTTAGCAGCTCAGAGTGGTCATCATCAGCCTTCGCAGCTGTCATGCGCTATTCCCATCTGTCTTACCTGTATGTGATGCTTGACGTGTGTGTCGTAATGCACTGGGCAGCCTAACCCATGCCATGCTCGCGGCTGTGTCTAAGTATCTATGCATTTGCTGTGCTGTTTGATCTGTCAATTACCGTAGTGATCGTCTTTTTTTGCCAACCCTGTGTGCAAGCTCTCTGTCATGTTGGCCCCCCCGAGCTCACTGTATGCGTTCGCCTCTGTGATGTGTTGTTAATGTTCTTGGCAGCTCAACACATGCTGCATGCTGTTCGACTAACCTTCGGCTGCTCTCCAAACAAGGAGACTGTTGACGCCGTCCTTGTCATGGAGGATCGCGATCCGTTGAGCGGTTATGTAGATCGTGTACATTTTGATCTGCGAACATTCCGCTCTCCAGTAAGTATTTCGCTTTCGCTTCATCGTGCTCCGGTTTGATGCGTCCAAGATTGGAGAACCAACTTCATACGCCCATCTGCTGCCTGTTTCCTTCTTTCGTCATCACCTTTCCTTCTTTCGTCAACATCAACAGTGGACCGTCCCCGGTTTCATCAGTGTTTTATTTGGTCTCATGCTCTGACAACTTGGGGTCGCTGTTCATCAAGATCAGGCTACCTTTGTTGCGCACGTTTGCAGGGTCACCACAACCTGTGATCCCTTAATGTCACCAGTGGGGTATGGGGCACCCATTTACTCCACTAGGTCTTCCATGTGTTCGTCCACCTCATCCTTCTTACAATGTATGTTCTCTCTGTCGTCAAGGACAGACCGATTCTTGAGCCTTTTCTTATCCTCTCCTTTGCTTTCGTCTGCATGCGGCATTCCTTACTTTCCCTTTGTCGTTCTTTGTTTTGTTTCTCTCTTCATCTCTCTTCTTTGTCTTTGTCCCCTCCCCATTTACTCTGCTTCTTTCTCATAGCATACAAGTGGGTCGTTATGGTACACGGGGATGCGGGCCGCTCGCGCTCAACTTCATCAACATGGCGAACCTTGTACCTGAGAGGTATGAGGGGGAGTCAAAAGAAGAAAGAGGAAAATGAACGGGTTTAGTGTTGCTCATCGTGTTTGTCTTGTGTATTTTTATCGTTCGTTTCGCAAAGTGCGCTCTTTTAGTCCATAGATATGTGTGACAATGTACGTACTATATAGTATATAGTTGTGTATGCTTGCCTGGTTTTGGGCTCGGAGAAGCCCGGGAACTGAGATCGATGAGTGGCATTGAGTGCATGTGATCTTCATCGGCTTGCATAACCTGTAAACCTCCTCTCTATTTTGTAGACATCCGACATCCCTTCAGCCATACTGCTTGTGACGGGATGAAGGTGTTTTGTGGATTTGAATTCGGTTTGGGGAACGGGGGCGGTTCCATGCAACCTCTTCTCTCTCTCTCTCTCTCTCTCTCTCTCTCTCTCTCTCTCTCTCTCTCTCTCTCTCTCTCT